TCTGTCTGTCTGTCTGTCTGTCTGTCTGTCTGTCTGTCTGTCTGTCTATCTATCTATCTATTTATTTTGATTTATCAACAATCACTTCTGTATTCTTTTGAGTTTAAAATTTTTCTCCCCCTTCCTCCCCACCACCCTCCCCAAGATGGCACACAATCTGATATAGGCTATACATATACATTCCTATTAAACATATTTTCACATCAGTGATGTTGTAAGTAAGAATTAGAACCAATAGGAGAAACCACCAGAAAGAGGAAACAAAACTCAACAGAAGAGAAAAAAAATAGCAAATAGTATGCTTTGATCTGCATTCAAATTCCATAGTTCTTTCTTTGGATGTGGATAGCATTTTCTATCATGAGGCCTTTGGAGATGTCTTAGATCCTTGTATTGCTGGGAAGAGTTAAGTTTATCAATATTAGTCATCACACAAAGTGGCTGTTATTATGTACAATGTTCTCTTGGTTCTGCTCACTTCACTCAGCATCAGACAATACAAGTCTTTCCAGGTTTTTCTGGAGTCAGCCTGTTCATCATTTCTTATAGCACAATAGTATTCCTTCACATTCATATACCACAACTTGCTGAGCCATTCCCCACTTGATGGGCACCCTCTCAATTTCCAATTCTTTGCCACCACAAAAAGAGCTGCTATGAATATTTTTATACATGTGGGTCCTTTTCCCATTTGTATGATATCTTCGGGATATAGCCCTAGAAGTGTTATTGCTGGGTCAAATAGTATGCACATTTTTATAGCCTTTTGGGCATAGTTACAAATTGCTCTCCAAAATGGTTGGATCATTTCACAACTACATCAACAATGCATTAGTGTCCCAATTTCCCCACATCTTGTCCAACATTTATCATTTTCTTGTTTTGTCATCTTGGCCAATCTGATTGGTGTGATGTGGTACCTTAGAGTTGTTTTGATTTGCATTTCTCTAATCAATAGTGATTTAGAGCATTTTTTCATATGACCGTAGATGGCTTTAATTTCTTCATCTGAGAAATGCCAGTTCATATCCTTTGACCATTTATCAATTGGGAAATTACTTGTATTCTTATGAATTTGACTTAATTCTCTATCTGTTTTAGAAATGAGACCCTTATCAGAGAGACTGGTTGTAAAAATTCTTTCCCAATTTTCTACCTTCCTTCTAATCTTAGTTGCATTGGCTTTGTTTGTGTAAAAACTTTTCAATTTAATGTAGTCAAAGTTATCCATTTTGCTTTTTGTAATGTTCTCTATCTCCTGTTTGGTCATGAATTCTTCTGTTCTCCATAGATCTGATAGGTAAACTATTCCTTGCTCTCCCAGTTTGCTTATAGTATCAACCTTTATATCTAAATCATGAACCCATTTTGACTTTATTTTGGTATATGGTGTGAGATTTTGATCAATGCCTAGTTTCTGCCATGCTCTTTTCCAGTTTTCCCAGCAGTTTTTTTTTCAAAGAGTGAGTTCTTATGCCAGAAGCTGGGGTCTTTGAGTTTTTCGAATAATCAATTACTATAGTCATTGACTACTGTGTCTTGCATACTTAACCTATTCCACTGATCCACCACTCTATTTCTTACCCAGTACCAAGCAGTTTTGATGATTGCTGCTTTATAATACAATTTAAGATCTGGGATTGCTAGGCCACCTTCCCCTGCATTTCTTTTCATTAGTTCCCTTGATATTCTGGACTTTTGTTGGCATGTACTTTTCTTGCTATGACAGCCCCTGGAGGAGGGCACTGGCTAGCACTGGGGTGAGGGAATGTGCTTAGGAGTGGAATGACAGATACCTCAGAGATGCAAGTCTATAAGCACTCTTGTAAAATGCCAGGTGGCACAATGGATAGAGGACTGGGTGTGGAGTCAGGAAGACCCAAATTGAAATCTGGCTTCAGGCACTTACTAGTGGTGTGACCTTGGGCAAGTCAATTCACCTCTGTCTACCTCATTTTCCTCATCTATAAAGTGGGGATAACAATAGCACTTATCTCCAGAGTTTTTATGAAGATCAAATGTGATTATATTTTTAAGGTACTTTGCATACCTTAACATTTTTTATAAATAAAGGCTAGCTATTGATAACGATAACAACAACAGCAACAACGATAATAGATGATCCTGTAAGTTCACATTAGCCCAGGCACCCACAGCTCATTAGTGCCTTCTGCCCCACTGAGTCCAGTAGAGTTTGGATAACCTGAATTTGTAACATACATATTCAGCAAAAAGATGTCTTCTGGTTTTGTTCAGTGACATGATTAAGAGTGGAGGAGCTGAATGGTTGGAGTAATCCAGAGCTGAGGTTTGGCAAAAGGACGGAAGATGGGAAAAGGGGGCAAGGGTTTGAGAGCAGAAGACCAGATAGAGTTGAGGTTTAAGCTTGAAGAGAGAGGAAAGCAATGTCACAAAGGCTAATGGCCTGAGGAAGTCTGAGGGGTGGAAGGAAGGGAGACCTCAATGAAGGCAAAGAACAGTCCAGGAGATGGGACACTTCAGAAGGATGGTAATGACAAGAGGTGATGGTCAGAGTCAGGGAATGGCAGATCTTCCAGTTTTCCCTCCCTCAGTGACAAAGGATCCTGACCCACAGCTGCTGTGCTGGGGACATGGGGGAGGCAGGTTCATCTAGGGAGTGAAGGGTTCAAGTGTGCGCAAAGGGGCTCAAGGAGAACAGTTGGCAGAAGTGACTCATCCTCTTCTCAGAGAGCCTTTGCTTTCCACCTTCTATTTTCAGAGGAGAGGGTTTAACCCTGAATGGCCAGCTGGCCTCTGGTCCTGTTTTGACCTTGGATTGCATCACTGGCTGTTCAACTACCAAATTATTTGCTATAGACAGGGACATGGAAGCTGAAAAAGAAAGGACTTGGGAAGAGGGGAAACGATCATGGTCATCAAGTATATGAAGGAGTGCCGAGGTTGAATTTGTCTGGTTGACCCCGGGACGGAGCAAGGAACAATGGACAGGAGTTTCATGGAGTGATACTGCAGCTGGTCATAAGAAAAACCTTCTTGACCATGTGAGCTATCAGATAGTAGCATCAGCTGCCACAGGGGGCAGTGAGGGACCCATTGCTGGCATGTGCCAAGGGAAGGCCAGATGGCCCCTTTCATGGGACTCTGAGTGCACTGGACTTCAGGTGAGGTCTCTTCTACCTTGAGAATTCTGTGATTCTGGGAGTTGAATATATGTATGTGCCTAAGCATGCCATTAAAATGTGCTGAGATAGCTTCAGTACATTAAAAGTCAATGTTATGAAAATGCATTTGGAATCAATATTCTTATTGTTGGCAGATGATGGATATTGATCACAGGTGTTAGGAATTGTGAGTAATCAGATTTTTTTTCCCTTAGTCAAGCTTGGATGTGGGTATAAATTTGCACAGATAGACCTTGAGCAGCTCTGTGACCTGGGGCAGAGGGAACATTAAAGCCTAGCCTGGGATTGAAAGGAAGGCAGGCAGGAAGGCATCAGCATTAGGACAGCTCCTCGGGGCATCAGAAAACCACCTGAGTCACTGATAGAGCCCCAGGGCCTGGAGGCCACTGGTCAGGTGGGCCAAGAATGCGGGCTACTGCCTAAGGGGGCACCCTGACTACAACTAGCGTGGGTCAGTCACTGTTTCCTCCATCTCCTTGGCCATTTGCTTCCTGGCCTTCAGGCCCATTGCAGGTGCCTCTGAAGGCTCACTGTTTTTTACTCAACTCTAGCTGGGGCTGCTTTTCCCACATTCCAGGTGTGGCTTCACAGATGATTGAGTTGACTTGCTGTGAATCTCTTCCTTCTGAAACCCCTGTTTGAGACTCTGCATACCTGTTCACAGCCATGGACTGCCAGTCAGCCTTTATTAAGCACCTACTATGTGCCGGGCACTGTGCTGAGTAATGGGCACATTATGAAAGGCAAAAGGCAGACAGTTTCTGCCCTCAAGGGCACAATCTACAGGGAAGACAACATGCAAACAGCTTTGAAGCTGCAGGATACATGCAGTGATGATGGAAGCCATCTCAGAGAAGAGGCCCAGCAGCTGCTAGGGACTTAGGTTTTTCCCATGAAACATATACTAAGACAGGGAAGGAATGATGGAGTCACCCTGGGCCTCACTCTATGGTAAGTAAAGAAGATTCCTCTGAGAACATCATGGTTCCAATGGATTCCCACTAGCATGGTAGAGTGGGGAAGGCCCTGCTTCAGAAATCAGGGGCTGGGGGGAGCACCCACGGTAGCGGCAGCGGGGGAGGATGAACGCGCCCCCCGCCTTCAAGTCCTTCCTCCTCTTTGAGGGAGAGATGATCACTATCAATAAGGACACCAAAGTCCCCAATGCCTGTTTGTTCACCATCAACAAGGAGGGCCACACCCTAGGAAACATCATCAAATCACAGTTACTGAAAGACCCACAGGTGCTGTTTGTAGGCTATAAAGTCCCTCACCCCCTGGAACACAAAATCATCATTCGTGTACAGACCACTCCAGACTACAGCCCTCAGGAAGCTTTCACTCATGCCATCACAGATCTGATCAGCGAGCTCTGCTTGTTGGAGGAGCGATTCTAGGTTGCTATCAAAGACAAACAAGAAGGAATTGAATAGTTCTTGATGTCTCCCCCATGCAGTTTCCATAGGAGTAGGAGCACAGAAACTCTTCCTCCCCTTCGATGTCCAGTTGGTATGAAAAGCTGAATGGGGAAAACCTTATTGCTTTTCTTTTTCTTAAAAAAGAAAAGAAATCAGGGGCTGGGTTCAAGGCATGCCACTTCTGGGTCCTCAGTTTCCTCATGTGTAAAATGATGGGGTCAGACCATTTGGCCTCTGAGGTGCCTTCTGGGCAGCTCTAGACTGAGGCTTCTAGGATCCCTAACATGTCTAGCATTTCTACAACATGAGGTTTTTGAAATGCTTTACAAATGTTCTCTCACTGATCCCCATAAGAACCCCAGTGACCCTTTGACAGATTCCTCACTGTTTCTTGACACCCCCCCCATTGCCAAGGCCCGATTTCACCTCTGCAGCATCTCTCAAACATGCCCCCTTGTCTCCTCTGACACTGCCCCCACCTCCTGCAGTACCTCATCACTTCATGTCTGGACTACTGCAATACCTGCTTGGGGTGGGGCGGTGCTGTCTCCCTCAGGCCTCTCTTCGCATGAGTCCATCCTTCATTCAGCCACCAAAGTGATTTTCTTAAAATGCAGGTCTCACCACATTGCCTCTTACTCAATAAGCTGCACTGACTCCTTATTGCCTCCAGGATCAAATACCATCAAAGTCCTTCCTAACCTGCTGCCTCCTCCCTTTCCAGTCTTCTTACACCTTCCTCCCCCGCAACATCTCCCCTCTGACCCAGTGACACCGGCCTCCTGGCTGTCCACAAACAAGACCATCCAGCTTTTGGATCTGTGTGTTCTGAGTGACTCTCCCGCCTGGCATGTTTTCTTGCCTTATCTCCCCTGCTGGATTTCCTCAAGTTTCAATCCCACTTTTGGAAAGATGCCCTTTCTGATCTCTCTTAATCCTGGGCCTCCCTTGGGCTTTCTTATACTTTGCCCTCCATCGCTCTTCTTTGTGCCTGTTGTCTCCCCCACTAGACTGTGAGCCTCCTGAAGGCAGGGACTGCCTGTCTTTTGCTTTACATTGGATATCCAGTGCTTGGCATGTAGAAAGTGCTTACTAATGCCTGCTGACCTTGCAGATGAGAAATAGAGGTTCAGAGGTATCAACAACTTGCCAGTCGTGGCCCAGTGATGCTGTGTAAAACAGAGACTAGAACCCAGCTCTTCTTGGGCATGAGTCCCGCCCTTTGCCTTGTTTCTTCTCACATTAAGTTCTTAAAACACAGCAGTTATGTTGCCAGTACATTTTGGGCTGTGGCCCCTGCCTGGCTGCCTTCCCAGGTGATGGCTCCTGCAGCTTTGTAATCCTCCAAGCACCAGATAAATGGGAGCTATCATTGTGGTAAAAATGAGGGTCCAAAGCTCAAACCACCTGCAGGGATAGTCATTTCGTGGTAGGTTTGATGGATGGGTGGGTGTCACTTGTTTAAGACATGAAACATTGGGCTGGAAAGCACATCCTGGGATGTGTTCTGAGACCCAAAGCCAGAGCCCAGGCACTGTTTGAGATGCTCACTCTCCCCTACATTCCCCACTCCAGGAGGCTAACTGGCATATGGGGGACGCACTAGGTTAAATGGGCTGTGAGCCCCATTGTCAGAAGGAGTACGCCTGCCTATGGGGTCCTGGAATCACTGGGTTGTGGTTGTGGGATTGTGAAGTCTGCTTTTACTCTCCGTGCTATCCATGGAAGTTGGAGGGATTTAGCTTGAAGGGTTCGGCTTGGATGAGGGGATGAGTAAAATGGAACGTAGGAAGTGATCGTGAGGAGGAGAAGTGATGTCTTCGTTACCTGTGCTTTATGAAGAATCATGTGTGTGTATTCATTCATCAGATACTTATTATGCACTTGCTGTATGCAAGGGACTGTACTGATCACTGAGGAGACAAGAGAGAGAACCAAACAATGACACAGTCTTTACTCCCTGGAGGCTTATATTAGAATAGAAGTGTCTTCTATGACATGGATGGTCAAGTGCAGAGACCTGGTCCAAGTGCCCTGGGAACTTTCAGGGAAGGGAAAGTTCATTTCCCTTTAGTACAGACATGAAATGACTAAAGCCAGAGACTAAGGGTGCAGTGCAGGGTTTGCAAAACTCAAAGGCATATAGAAATGTCAGCTAGTAGGGGTAAGAATAACTGTAATAGTAGCAATAATCGTCGTAATTGTTAATGGTAGTGGTAGGAGTGATAGTAGTAGTGATAATAGTAGTACTAGTAGTAGTAGCAGTAGCAGTAGTAGTAGTAATAGAAGTCGTAGATGACAGTCCTCTGAAGGCCCAAGGAGGCACCATGACAAAGAAGAGGTATGCCAGGCAGGGTGATATTCTGCATGGACTTTATATGTTGTGAGACTACCATGGAAGCTGTGAAAACCTGGGAGGAATCCTGAAACACTAGTCAGCTGGCCAACCTCTGGTGATACCAATGATTGGCTTAAGCCCTCAGACAACGTATTGAAGCTTCCCCTACAAATATAAGAAGTCTATGGGGCAGAATCATCATAGAGGTGAGCTATACTCAAGAAGCAAGGACCTGATAGACACAAGGAGTGGGGTGGACGGTGAATAGCACTTCCTTGAGTTCTGGTACCACACAGAGATAACACATGTGGGAACAAATCAGGAAGACCAATGTCCCACCTGCTGAAAATGTTTCCTTGTGAATGGCATTATTCTCCAAAGCCAGCAAGCCAGGAGTGAACAGGAAATGATCTGAAGATGAGAATGCATTGTGTAGTGGCTCATACTACATCATCACAAAATCATCATAGACACATCATAGAAAAGAACATAACAAAATTGGAATCATATCCTAACAGTTACAGGCAAGGACTTCATCATGCTTTTTGTTGACCACAGTGTCAGCTCCAAGTTGCACAAGGCTTTGCAAATCATTGCAGGGCAATCATTTAAAATAATTTAATTTCTATGTCCAAGTTAGTTGAAATGACTAGAAATTGAGGAGTTTCTTAAATCTGAAGTGTGAGAAGCTGAAGATCCTGAAGGCACTGAATATTTATACTCAACACCAACTCAAGAAGGCCTACCTAAAAATGATATGAGTGGCACACATAATGGCAATGTCTCAAATAGTTGTGAAGAGGCAATGAGTGTACTTAGAATGGAATTTCAAAGGGCCTTTTTTGATCTTTAATGGCACAATGTAACTGATAGACTAAGCATATCAAAATAATCATTTACCCAAGCTTAATCATTTAATGTACACAGATCCCATCAGGGTTTGTGGGTCCATTGGGGGAAAAATAAAACCACATTACACAGCTCCTTTATTTCATGGAAACTTTCTCAAATAATATCAAAGTAACATTTGGATGTGGCAAGCCTAACATTCTTAATGGCTATCAAGGAAGAATAAATAAGGTGTCAGGTCTTTGGGTCTGAATCCAGAGGTCAAACTGAAGAAATGGATGAAGGTGGTGCTTCTCTAGATAAGGCACACCTAGTCTGTAATGTGATTATAGAGAAATTAAAATTGGATATGATAAGAGGTTGACTGGTGTCCTAAAGTCTAAGTTTATTAATAAATTAATATTCATACAGTATCAGTTCTCAATATTTTTCTTTTAAAAATAAATTTGATTGATGTATTTTGTTTTTTAACCTAGCCAAAATTTCCACCAGGATAACTCCCCTCTCCCTTCCTAGAAAGCCACCCCATATAACAACTATTTTTAAAGACAAAAAAAAAATAATCAAAACTGAGTAGCACATTAAAAAAAATTGAAAACATGTGTGACGTGCCACCCTTGGGGCCCCACACCTCTGCAGAGGGGTCTGGTTGTCTTCATATGTCTCTATTTCAAATTGTGCTTGCTATTTGTAATGTAGCAGCATTCACTTCTGATTTTTTTTTTGGTGATCATTCTTTGCACCCACATTGTTTTAGTCATTCTGTATATTGTTTTCTTGGTTCTGCTTGGTTTACTCTGCATTAGTGTGTGTAGCTCTTTCCCCATGTCTCTGTATTCATCATATTTGTTATTTCTTACATCACAGTGATATTCCATTATAGTCACATGTCATAATTTGTCTAGCCTCCCTCCAATTGCTTCCCCCCTCCTAGTTCTTTGCTATCACAAAAGTACTGCTGTATATTTTTTGGTGTATATAGGGACTTTCTTCTTACTAATGGCAGTCTTAATGCTTTTCACACAGCAACATTGATGACGGTGGTTCTAGGAGATGTCAAAACAAACACCCTAAGTAATGTTAACAAAACAAAATAAATGCTCTTCACCCCAGTGAAGTTATGGAAGGACTAATACTTCCTCATCAACAAGTAGGAAGAAGGTTAAAAGATCTTAGAATACATGATAAATTAGTTTAAAAGTACAGGAATAATTTTGCAACAAGCAAACCTCTCTGCTCAAAACCACAGTAAAGACTGACCACAGGTATAAGCCGTCAGACATGCTGAATACAGTCCAAAGTAGTTTACTCTGTATGGAAATCAATGAATAAGACCTTATACAATACCTTTGAGACAAGAGTGGAATCAAAAGGTCTTTAGTGACTCATATCCACATGAGCTCAGCCCACAGTGTGCTGATAAAGAAATATTAAATAAATGGTTGAATCATGTGGGTTTGTTTATAGAAGCAGAGGATTCTGGGAAAGTCATTTGGGATCAAGTCATTGCCACCAAGAATTGTAATCTGAAGGATCATGGACTTATTAGCCAATTCAGATTATATCATGAAGTTGTAGAAACTGCAATATATTTTTGTGGAATGCCCACATTTAGAATCTCTCAAGTAGCTAGAGAAAATGATCAGGTGGCCACAATTACATACCCCAAACTGACTGTCTTTTATAAACTAAGAGATGTCCGATGGCCACACTACAAATCTCAACCTCAAACAGTCTCAAGAATTCAAGAAAGACATTCGTGGAAGTAGAACATCCTTACAGACATAACTGT